GATATACACCTTTATGGCCGCGGCTTATGATATCAGCTTTTTCTTGAAGATTGTTCAACTATTGCTCCGCGAATGTCTTCATGGTGAATGGCCATCAGAAAGCAGCGTGCCATTAGGACACACAAGAATGGTAAGTGATCATTGCTGTAGAGAACACTGGTGATGGAACCTCAAACTCTTCTCCTTTTAGATAAGTCGAGGAGCAATTCTGAGCTTGTTGGCAGAATTAGTTAAATCGTACCCTGGTGTTGCTTCTCTGATATGCGAGGCTAAAGAAGATGGTCAGAGCGTTATTCATCAACTCATTGAGCATTTCATCGATGGTTCGCAGGAGAAAGTAAGTGTCTCTGTCTCTCCCAAACTCATAAACTTGTGAAGTTGAGTACGTGGTAAGCGCATTAATGGTTGTGATCTGGTAAACAAATGTTTCAGGATACTCTTGGCTCTTTGAAAACGCTGATTTCCATTCTGGCTGCCTGCAATCACTCTCCCAAAGCGCAGGAGTCGTTGGTGTCCGACATGAAGGCATCGCTGCTCGCAGTTGGAAACTCGTCACTTTCCTCTTCGGCGATCTGTAGCAAAGTATGTGATCGCCTTCTCTCGGCCGAACTCTTTAGTGGTAATCTGTCCGCTTTCAGATCACAGAGTTGTGTTCTTTGCTTGTTATGATGCTAGATTCTTGCCCGTCGTCTATGACTTCATTGTCACATTCACACCATCGCCATTTGCTTGGCGGAGCTCCAAGTTCAATAACGAAGTTGTTCCACAAGAAAAGAATATGTAATGACCTCGTGAAGACTATCACGTACCTTCAGTTGTCGCAGAAGGTAAGCTTAATAAATACACTGAAAAGGTGCTTATTGCTCATAGCTAATGCGTAAACATTTCAGGAGGCTATCGATACAGTTAACACTGTACTGAAAACGCTCGAAACATTGATGAGAACCACGAATTCATCAAACTCTTCAGCTAATGCAGCAAGCATTACTCACGGAGCACGAAATGTTGCTCGTGCTCAGGCAAGTATTGTGAACCGCTTTCTCCTATATTCTTTGGTAATGTTAATAAACGAGGGGAGCGTGTTAGTTCTTCCGATCAAGGCACCTCTGACTAGGACATACCTGAGAATGAGTTGTGTAGCGGGATAAGCCTGAGCTTAAGATAGAGTAGGTGTCATACTTTATAGTTCGCCCTTGCGCCGCGAGATAGCGATCATGGCTGTTGTCAACCGTGTTGGTGCCATCACCGTCACACGGCAAGTGTAATTGCATCGGGTGT